CCGCTCCCCAAGCGTCATGGATGTGAGCCGTTTTTCGGCCGTAAACCATCATGTTGGGCTCCTCACAGGAAAAAAAACACATCACTGGTGTGGACCAACTGCTGGATCTGTGTGGACCAGCTCTCTCACAAGCAGCGCAGCCAGGGTCTTGGTGGATCGAAGGTCCAGCCAAGGTGCCGTCTCGCACAATGGATCGAAAGCTGAGCCATAGTATGATCAAGGTCATGAGTTTCAGTGATCCATCCATGTTGCAGAATACTACTGTACGCTTATACTGGCGCTGCCCTGGAACCTGGCACCGAATTATTCAGGGGGCCTGGTCAAAAGGGACTCAGCGCTTGTTGGAGCATGCATAGAAAGTGGAAGGCCTTAGAAACTTGTTCAGGTGGTCGCCTCTCCCTCTATCATAGGTCTTGATGGCCCTACTTCTGGGACTGAAAGACTCCCAAAGCTGTTTTGCGGAGGTCCAATTCTTGCACTTGATAGTCTGGGGCATTCACTAAGCCAGGCGAGCACATCTAAGGGAACAACCAACTGAATAGTAATTCATGTCTTGAGGTTCACCCTGGACTGGGGGTTCTCCAATGTGCAGTGATTGAGCTTGATGCTCACCCCTTTCATCCCCTTTCCCTGCCGCACATCCATCAGGACCGCACGTCTCGAAAGAAGGCATCACTGCTGCCATGTTGGCACGAATGGATACTGAGCCGAAAATGACTTAATTAGGGATGGGTCTAGAGTCCAGAAGAAATAAAAGCCGAACTCCACTCCAAGTCGTGGAATCTTGTATACAGAACACGGAAAACAAACAAACAAAAACGCAGGTCGCCCATGACCTCGCCCTCGCCCTCCCGTTTCCGAAGTGGTGCTTTCTTCCAACGTGTTCCAAAGCGAGTTGGGCCCCGTCTGTGTCGCGACCGTCTCGGTGTCCGGTGAGTCCGGTGTTTCGCCCTTCAGGTTCGGTACTTGGACCCCTCCTGGCACCTAAATAGCAGTGTCTCCTTCTTCACCGTACCTGAGAAGGTACGACTGGATCCTTAGGGAGTGTTCTCAGGAAAGTCGCGGCTGCATCGGAAATGAACGCTGGATGGATCATGGATCGAAGTCTGAATGTCCAAGAGGAAGGAAGGTCCCGCACTGCCCGGCCTGCTTAAAGGAACATGTTCCGCGAACCACACCAAATGGGGAGTACCCCTATAGCCCGTGCTAGCTGCACCGGCTCCACTGGCTTCGTGCGCTGAAAAAAAACACCCGAAACAGAGACTGTGCCGAATTGATGTTTCAATCTCTCCACCAAAACAGCCGGGGAAAACCACCTGGTGACTTCATGGTCGTCTTCCCTTTTTTTCTCCATTCCAGGCGGTGCATCTGAACGCACTCCGATTGCCTGGATGCCGCTGGAGTACCTCCTCGGGTTTCGTTCCACTGTATCGGTAGTCGTTGCCACAACCCTAAGGTTCGAGGCCTCATCCTTGTGTATATAGATACAAGAAGGAAGGATATTATGGCAAAAACCCTTTGTCACGGTGAGTTCAGAGTCATGCGCACTTTACTCAGATATAAATGGATACATTCCCAATAAATAGTCTCGTCCCCACAAGTTCACAAGCTTATCGTGCCTCTTTCCCTTGCTTTTCAACTAAAATCATCCGCTTCCCATCACCCTGGGAGTATTCGTTTTGGTCTTTCGGTGACCCCAAAAGGAACATCCTTTACGTCAGGCGAGCAACATGTATAATTGTTGAGACTTTTAGGGATTAGAGAGACTCGGGCCATTCTCCCAGGATCGCCTGTCTCGGTCTGCTTCCAACACCCCCCGAGCTAGCTGTCTCTGTGCATTGGTTGAAGAACTGATAGCATTCCAACTTTGGAGCAACAAGACTTACACAAACAATTTTCAATACATTTCAATAGCGTATTCATACAATATTCAAGTTTGATTGAATTAAGGTCTTCTTTCCTAATCGTTGCTTTTACTTGCATGCAAGTAGTGTGTCCATCTGACCGTGCCCTAGGATTCCAACAATATCATGGCTTTAATCTGTTTTAATGGTCTTGACATGTCTTGACCAAACGACCATGGGATTGTGTTCCTCAAGATTTACACTCCAAAACCAGGTCAAGGTCAAGCCAGGTCAAGCATCTATAAAATGGTCTTGGAAGGGTAGGGAATGCCTCAAAGTCAAACTATCCTCCTGATCCAACATCTCCAGCAGCTTCCCGTTTCACGTTAGCACCCCGCAGCCCCCTTTGGGGCGGATGACGGGGCGTTTAAGGCAGCACGCAGCGGCACGGGTGACGAGGTGCACCGAAACCGGACCACCTGGAAGAAGGAAAATGGAGTCTACTCAGTCTACCCATTCGTTGGGGGTCCCCCTATTACAATCCAAGCTGGACCAGTCCACCATGTAGCGAGCGACCTGGCGACCTCCCAGGTAAGTCGAGCAAGGTAATCCTGGTGCCATGACCCACAGCCATATGGAACACACCGGAGCTTCACGGCTGCAGATTGCCGTGCTTCTGGATCTTGGAGGTTGAGGACCTTTGAAAAACCGCGGATGGATCCAGAGGATGGCCACACTGCCGCACGGTCCAAGGATTTGCCTTAATTGCCAACTGGGTTACTTAGTGACCAAGAATCCTTTTCATTCACAAGGCTATCATCTTGCCCCCCTTCAAGCTGACATGGAGTGAGGCGCAAACCTACGTTTTGGCCGGAGGTCAAGGAGCTGCCAAATAAAACTACCAAAGGTTTCGCTGCCTACTTCAGCTGGACCTATACCCCCAAAGCCTGTGGTGACCAACAATTCTGCAGACTCAAGCCTATGACCTGGTGAACCCCAGTCACGCGATTCGAGGCCGTGGTGCCATGCCATTGGATTCTACATGGCCCATTTGGTTCAGCACGGGCACTCAGCGGTGAGGCCGCTCCATCGACCATTGGTGAGACCGGTCGTCATCCAGAAAGGTGGGACGTCTGGACAGGGTGCAGGTACAAGTATTAGGGGATCGAAGCCCCTGACGAACCTGGAAAATTCATCAAAGGCTTTTGAAGCGACTGGGTTCTCATATGTCATAGGTCATGAGATGCATATAAATGGACATGTTGGCCAAACCCCTCTTACTCGATATAATCGAACCCCTCTTATCAGAAAGTACAAAGCCATGCATGGCCTCAAATGGGCAGTGAATGCGGCGCCGATGAAAGATTGGTCTTGCTTGGCCACTCAAACCTGCGAAGTTGCAACAGCTGCTGAAGTCAATGGGTTGCCTTTGTTCAACCGCAAGTGAGTCCAATATGGCTGTGGCTCAAAACCGGGATGCCTGGCTTGGCCTACCAGGGAGGTCAAGCTACATGGTCTGCTCCAGGTTTGGACCCATCCCCATATGAGAAACGTATACAGTACTGTACTAACCTTGAGGATATGATGGAGTTTCCTAGGAAGTAATCAAGAGTCTTTCGGGCGTTCATCAACCATACCTTGACAAACCTAGTCCGGTAGCTAGACTTTTCACAGCAAATCTCTCGGCAGTTGAATTTGAGCCATCAAAAGCAGTGAGTGAGAGTTTACAATGTATTTATGGCCAATCTTCTTCGACATGGTGTGTGTCAATGCTTTGCAGCCAGGGAGAATCAATGGAATATGAGGTCATAGCTGATTCATGGTTCATGCCCTTTGGTACGAAGAGTCCGCCCTCCGTCCTGGTGAATTAGCTCCCAAACACGCAGTGGCTCGCAAAGATGTCACGCAACTTGCAACACATTGATTTGTGCGCGCTTCATTCAACAGAAGTTCTGACGTAAGCCTTCCCTCTAGATCCTAGGTGACCACATACTTATCAAGTGAGTCTCTTGCGGATCTGCAAGTAGGGCCATAGGTGATAATATAGTGTAAGGTGTGAGAAAAGCCACACATATCCGACCCGCTCAAAATATCTAGCAATTTGTCTGATAAACAATCCCATCACGTTCCAATCACCCTGTCAGCAATTCCAAGCATGCCAAACTTGCCCAAAGTCATCTAGCGTGGACTGTTCAGCGCAACATCTTTCTTCGAACGTCCGCGTGCGGAAGACGGCAGGGAACACGACCCGGTTAGCACGGCAATGCTCAGGATTCTGTCAGTCTTGATGATTGACGTAAGAGTGAGGTCTCCTTTCTAAGTGGCTTAAATGATAGGGGATAATAGGGGATAGGGCTACAGGGGGGGTTAGCTCCCATCCAAATCCCAAACACCCTAAACCTCCTCAAGATCCCGTCTTGGGTCTACCTAGCCCAAAGAAGTCGATGATATTTGATGATGACTCAAAAATAAACACCCGGCAGGGTGGCACATATAAGCACCCCCTTGATAGGACCCACGGGAGGAAAAGGAACTTCGCCCATCTTGTACCTTTGGTCCATCGACCTATTCCCAACAAACCATACCATAGTGTGGGATGGTTTTAGGAGTCAATGACTAGTGGCTGCTTATGTTCTACCAGGCCTTCGAAGCTCGTCACGGTACGAGGTACTGCATTGATCGTCTCGCAGCATGTTAGGCATCAGGGCCTCCCCGACTAGCCCTTGCAACAACACCACATAAAGGTGGCAGGTTGACATGGGAATGCACCCCCAGACTACTTGCCTCTGCTGAAATTGTCGTTCTACCAGCCAACAATGGCGCATTGTTTGTCGCAAAGTTGCAGGGTCTCTCGGCTGTTGTGACCGTTGTGACCAAACAAAACAGTGAACTCTTAAAGAGGCTTCACTGACTGGGATGTTCCGCCATCTCAGAATCCGGGCATCACAAACCAATCTTGTTCTCAGGATGGGCAATCGCCCAGGTTCTGCCCCAAAATCACATGAGTTGATATATTCCAGGCACTTTGGCACTTTGGCCACTCACCCATCCCGGTGGCATCTTTTGGTTTAAGCACCGCAGAAGCACTGTTGTTCACATCATTTTCGTCTGGGAAGCACGATTCGTGAAGCGCGCCTCTTCGCGCGACGCGTTCGTTCACAGGGTAAGGCCGCAGCCCTGGATAAACCACAAGGGCCCAGGCCCAGTGACCACCACCTTGGCAGCTGCTCTCGCAGCTGGAAAAAGCTGCGGCAAAAAAATGCGCTCACTGGAGGATATCGTTTCCATGGAAGAAACTGGAAAGTGATGGGATAATCGGATACACTCAAAGCATCATTAATGGCATGGGCCCAAAAGGAGGACCATGAGATCCTCTACCAAACAGGTGGTTCGTTCCATGAAACCATGATGATTTCATGGATATTATCACAATGTGAGGTCTGAAGCCCAAACCGAACCGGTCAAAGCCAAAAAAACCGCCTGGAAGAGTATCATGTTGGTTTCTGAATTGAACCTTCCAATAACTCTGTTGACTCTCCAGATCGCACACAACAATGGATCGTGAGCAAATCTGATGATTCCGGAAGTGAAGTTCGCTTGGATTGGTCTGTTAGGCAACAAGTGTTTTCCAGTCTTCCTCAAGTCACTAGGTCACCAGGTTGCACTTGCATCGGAGAAGGACTGGCCATGTGCAGTTTCGACTCCAAATATGAAGCCTCGTAGCAATCGTTGATAGCTTTGGTATGTTTTGCTCCCTTTCTCATGTTGACCTAAACTTGCCCACGTATTTCCCACGCCGCCCATTCTCATCTTGACCTAAATGTCTAAAATCTTGCCCCCCCAAAAAAGCCGTGCTTCTTTTACCGAAGATCTTCCCCAGCGCCTTGTCCCTTTCTAGTTCATTAAAAGAAGAACGTCTGGAAGGAGGGGTGAACCCCAAATCGAGCCATTCAAGCCGGGAGAAAATGCGCACACTCCGTCGAGTGCTAATGCTACGGTTGGACCTCTGGACCTCTGGAGGTTGGAGGTTGGACCTCTGGACCTCTGGACCCTCCACGATCCCCTCTTTTTGCGCGAACGAAAAAATCGCGTCCATCCATCCGTCGTTGAATCTGTCAGGAGAACGCTCAAACCATCCGGGATCCGTCACGTCGGGCGAGCTGTCCTGGACGTTCCGCGCATGGCGACCTGCGAGGGGAAAACGGGTGTGAAGTGATGGCTTTGAAGAAGTGGGACGAAAACGATGGCAAATGGTTGGCATGGAATTTGGTGTGCATTCCATTATAACTGTAATTATCGGGTCACCGGGACTGTAAGCTTTCAATACACTTTCTGATAAGACCTGTGGGATAAATTGGACAGTAGATAGCCAAGGACATCAATGAAGATCAACAGTTGGAGGTCCAAGGTTTCATCTTCTGCCCAAGCATCCAATTCCTTAGCTTCCAATCTTCCAAGACCCAAACCACGAAGCCCCGTACTCCAGGAGTAAGGGTTTACAACTGTTTCAACGTGTTTCTCTAGACAAGCGACACAAAGATACAGTTTCTTGATGGTCTTCCACTGTTCCTTCAGGTCCGGTCCAAACTGGAGGACCGGCAGCTGGTCCTCCAGCTTTCGGCTGAAGGTCGCCCGCACGGGCGACAGCATCAAACTCTCCAAAGAAGAGGACTCCACTACCCTCAGCAATTCCCAATGTTCACATGTGGGAGACCTCCGAGATCTCGCCCCGATCGTCCTACACTGGTCCAGCCAGTCCCAAACTCCCCTAATTAAGCTACACACCCGTTGACTAGGCCGTTGTTTTGGACGTTGTTTTACCAGAACTTGAGGCAACTGGTGTGTCTTTGGTTAACACTTCTAGCTCCAAGGTGTTAGGGGTGACAAATCATTGACCGTGGGTCAGGTGAACAACCCCTCGCCCTCACATCCCGTCACAACAATCACACGTGATGATGACAGTTTCATCCTGCATGGCTCTGGATGCATAGCAGCATGTTGATGAAACCCCGCTATATACCTGGATGGTAAATGGGGTTGCTTTCATCAACAGTTTACATTATATACCAATTACCTTCCCTGCAAATCCTTCAACTTCACGACCTGAAACAACTTTAGAACGCACAATGCCATGACGAAGACCCGAGGTCCGGACCTCTGCTTCTAGGATCCTGGAACGCTCCGCTTGCGAGTTCGTCGCAGGACACAGCGCCGAGGTCTGCGAATTGGACATGAAACCGTGGTCTAGGAAGCATGATGATGAACCATGTTACCCCTACTTGACCGTCTCGCCTGGTGACTTCACAACTGTATCAATTGTTTTAATCTGTTGTACAAACATATATATAAATAGTGTAAGACTTGTGTTTTTTTTGTCACTTTTTGTTGAACAATCAAACAGTGCTCAAAACCTGCATGCCTATGTGTGCGACATACTATGTATATTATATATATACATGTAGCTACCTTGGGATGAACAATGGACCAATTGTGTCCATGAACTGCATTCGGAACTGTAAAATATGAGCATATCAGCTGCACGAAAAGAACAACCCCTTGAAATCTGCCATATCTTCGGCACTGATAACTACCCACATTCTGTGTCTGTGCCGTATTCCAGCAAAAACAGCAACTGGATGCAACTGGTGATGTTTTTAGAATTTGACCCTTGAAACCCATTTCTGACACGTTCTATGGACAGTATACGTGGTGCAAGCAAAGGTTCGCTTGCAAAGGTTCGAACATCCACACCCACACCCGATGCAAGGATGCTGAAGTCAAAAACATCTGAACTCAAAAATGGCTGACCCATGGGAAGTCTTCCCATGAACAAAAACCATGCGGCTGATCTCCTGCAGGGCTTGTAAGACCAGCCGGACCTCAGGTCCAATGATCAAAGTTATGTGTTCAAACATCCTCACACAACTATATAGGCAACGATCCTCACATATAGACAACCCTTCAGAAGGAGATAGAAGGAGGCACGAAGTACTGTTCTGTCTCGGATGTCCTGCGAGACGTGGTCCTTGGACCAGTTGTCCACACACAGAATGAACCGGCAGTAGTGAATAACTCTCTGGGCATCTAGGCTTAGATGGGTTCAGTGAGCCCCTCTCATCGTGACAGATTTTGGGACATCGACAAAAGCTGCAAAAGAACACTTGGAGGTCAACAGGATATCCTCCCATTCTCAATCTCAACAAGTTCAACAAGTACAAGTCCACTCATTTGCAAGCGTTCTGGGAAAGAACACGGTCCTGGGAGCACGGTCCTTGCAGCAGGCCTTGCTGAACACCGACCACCAACGCTTCCAGGAGCTCAGCATTCGGCACGACACCAGCAGAGCTTAACACTGGCTGCTTACACCCACCAGCTCGGCACGTCGACACGAAGAGTCATCGTTCACCTCATTCTCTCATCAAATGCAGCGACACGTGCGCAGCTGGGGTTCACTTCATCGTCTCAGCATTGCTAAGAAGAAGTCCTTTTTGTCCAGATGCCCATGCTGTTCTACTGGTCGGTCTGAGTATTTCCGAATGAGTGAGTCTTTGATGCAGTCTGCTGTGACAGCCAAGGACTGGAGCGTCCTCCCATTGAATCCATTGAAACGACTCTCCTTCATGGATAAACTACATCTGCAGCCGGTGCCCCTGGCTGTATCGCTCGTTGTCCCCAAGGTTTCTAGGAACTTCTGATAACTTTGGCATGTCTTCCAGCTCCTTCCAGTGATAGTGGCTCAGAGTAGTTTAGGTCCCAGGCCCCTAGTGCAGCAAGGCGGGTGAGGCTGGGCGGCTTAGGCGCAGGTACAGGTGGCTGAAGATTGATTAAAGGAGAGGTGTTTAGGAAGCCAGCGCTCTTAGCACACAAACTTACATATATACAAATCAAAAAGAACAGCAAAACCAGCAGCTACCAGCTACCCATGGCTGACATCTGTTTTCCAAAGGTTCGTGCCATGAATTCAGAAATACCTACCCTATGGATCCACATATCTTCTGAGAAAGCGCTTGGACACTCTTTATGGAGGCTTGGAGGCTCCAAGTACCTTCTGAGAAGGTATTATGTGGATCCCTAGGGGTATTAAACACATGCGTGACATTTCATGGCTTCAAGGTTGCATGGTTTCGTCACCCGATCCGAGACAAACAGCCTAGCGAGCTAGCGGGGACTGTTCCATCTTCAGATCAGAACACACGCCTTGTCCAGAACACCCCGGTGTCTCAGTCTGTGAATGAACCATTACCTTTGTGGAACATTGAAGCGTGTTGAACATTGAAAAAAGAAACACATAACTCCTGAGACACTCCTGAGGCCTACCTACAACTTCCATCCTCCAACTTCTGTTCCTCCAACTTCTCCTCCAATCCTTTGCAACCAAGGCACCACGGCATCGGCCATGTCCTTAGCAAGCGATGGAGCAAGCCATGACGAACGATGTCCAGCGAGAAAGCTGGATGAGGAATGATCACAACTGAAACCAATGAAAATTACCTTATAAACACGGGTGTACATTCCACAATTACAAGTCTCGGTTCGCAGCTTTTCCTGAATTCGCAGCTTTCAGAAAATCCGGTGCCCCTTCGTGGAATGGAGCCTTGTGCCCACGATCCAGTCACTTGTTTGTCAGGGTAGGCTGTCAGTGACTTTGTCTGTTTTGCAGTGTTCCTGGTCGAATTGGCTCCTGTAGGGTGCTGTTCTCTCTCAAAAAAGCACAAACTTGTGAAGCGTAGCAAAATCAGCAACAAACACAAACGTCAAACGGGATGTAGAAACCCAGATGTAAACCAGGAACGTGTCTGCTTTGAATATGTCTTGCAGAATCTTATCTATCTACACCGCCAAACTATGACCATGTTCTTACGATGGTGACACACAAACAAACAAGTAAATTGCTGTAAACGAACCGGTCTGCAAGCTTGGGGTGGCGGGAGACCCTCGGTCTGACGCCCAGCGTCTTCTCGATGCCCGGGCAAGGGCGCAGTGAGTGCCGCCCAGTCCTTGCTGGAAGACCTCGCTGGAACGATCCGCGAAACAGTCTCAAAAGGAAAGCAATTGGATGGCACACTCCATGGGACTGCCATATATGCCGATCAGTTGGGGTGGTTTGACAGGTAAATATGGCATACATAGAGTGTGTGGGAATTTGATGGCACATTCCTGGAGGGTCGAAAGTGAATTCAGTTTCTCTTGCGGTCCCCAGAAAGGATCCAAGGGGAACTCGGGTCCTTTGTAAATACTTGTGAACCCAACCAACGGACTATCCTTAACCTATTGGTTCAAGATGCTCTCAGAATATGTTACTGTAAAGTCTCATGATTGTCTCTCAGAATATGTTGTTATGGCATGGCAGCAAGCAGGTTCGAAAAGAAACACCAATCACAAAGAATTGTAATTTGAACAAACCAATCCCTTGGTTAAATGACGTGTTTACGCGGCGTGATTGTAAATTATAACTGAGTTTTGCGAATACGCCAGGACGAACCTCAAATATGTTTTGGCTGGTTCCCTCTTGCAAGATCACTGTCTTGTAGACCTCTTCATTGATAAACCACTTGCATGCTTGTGGTACTTTTTTCTATCCATGCAGTCCTTATGAATCTGAAGAAAACAAACGAGCATCTTGTGTACACTTCTGCTTGAGAATGTCTCAGGTAGGTGTGTGTGTGTCAACCCCTGTACCTAAGGGTTCCACCTTGTTTTTAGTTTTGAATGCTTCTTCAGCAGGGGGGCAGTGGTCCTTTCAGCAGTCACTGCCTAACAAAGACACTGCTGATCGGATGTGACATGACTCTGGGACGCCGGAGTCACGTACCTGCATTTTCCAAACTGTTCACAAGCTGTCCAATGCGTTGTTTCCTGCAGCTGAGCCGCGTCGACGTTCGCCACCGCAGACATGTCAACAGTTTGTTCAAACAATACACGTGCGCTGGCCCTTTCACCTTGCGTTTCCCTCACCATGCCGGAAATCATGTTCCTGAATCATCGGCTTTTCATCGTGAATTCTCTTAACAGCCTTAGTCTCACCACTGAATTGTCTGAATAAGAAGCCGCCGGGCTTTCACGGCAAAACACCCGCTTACTGACACCATAGCCGCCGGGCTAAAAAACGGAATTCCACCTGAGGTCAGGCATGTATCCCAACCCCCCCCCCGCCGAGTTCTACTCCCCACCTAATTAGGGCAACACAGGGAAATGGTACTCGACACACTTGTGTGTCGGTGCCTTTCCCTTTGTTGTTCCTGTTCTAGTCTTCTCTACCCGGGCGGTCTAAGACTAAAGTCCCGCTCCCTAACTATTGCATTTAATTCGCCTCGGCTAAGTAGTCAGTAACTCTAGAGTGCTAAGTAGTCATACACACACACATGGACACACACATGCACATACACCTCCCTGCCCCTCCCCGACTTTCCTTCTTGCGCTTTTGCTCGTTTCTTGGGCTTTCTCTCAGGCTTTTTAGGTTGCTCTTGAGGCTCGTTTCCCTACCCCAGTCAAGGGCTAAGTATCCACCTTTTTTCTACACCTACCTTTCTCTCTTGCCCTCTTAGCGCTGCTCTTTCTGTGTTTCTTTCTTTTGTTTCTAAGGCTTTTTAGGTAACCATTCAGGTTCACCGCACGAGCGCCGCAAAGCGGCACCGTGTGTGTGTGTGTGTGTCAACCCCTGTACCTAAGGGTTCCACCTTGTTTTTAGTTTTGAATGTTTCTTCAGCAGGGGGGCAGTGGTCCTTTCAGCAGTCACTGCCTAACAAAGACACTGCTGATCGGATGTGACATGACTCTGGGACGCCGGAGTCACGTACCTGCATTTTCCAAACTGTTCACAAGCTGTCCAATGCGTTGTTTCCTGCAGCTGAGCCGCGTCGACGTTCGCCACCGCAGACATGTCAACAGTTTGTTCAAACAATACACGTGCGCTGACCCTTTCACCTTGCGTTTCCCTCACCTTCCTTCTCAACGTGGGAATTGAGTTAACAGTTAACAGCAAACCAATGTCAGAGTGTGTGTGCGCCCTCTCCTCATGTGCTGTCTTCGCGTTGTCATCTCCTGCTTCACCTGCATTGCGTCGCGCCAGAATCGGACCAGGAACCAAAAGACTCAAAACTGGGGTCCACTGGGGCTCCTGACCAGTGTGGCGTCTCCAAGGCATCCAACGGGAAGTGAAACTCGCCCGACCCCGCGCCCCCGAGCGCCATGAGCGGGATGATGCGCGCGCCTGGCGCCAGCGGGTCAGGGTGATCCAGGCCCTTTCGGGACAGTGACTTGGTCGCTGGAAGTGTCCATCGAGGCATTGCACCACGTGGCAGCCAATGCAGCATGAGTCCAAGCTCGGAACACGCCGACAATTCAGTTTGCAGTATACGGATGTATACAGTGGATAATGGTGGACATCACAACGCACCAAGTGTTTTTGGTCCCTTACGGACTGAACTCCATCCCTGGAAATCTTGAGCATCTCGACTCTCGACCATGAAATACCAAGAGTTGGGCTAAATTTGGCTGAATGAAGGCGTGACCCTGAGTGATGGACAAACAAAATGGAACGGCATAAGCAGCAAACACACAATTAAACAACACAAACACATGCATATGATATATTGTGGGTTTTCCTTTGTGGCAAACGACACCCAGGAAAACATAAGTTGCAAAACATCAATACATGGGTTCACGGGTTCACGTATAGCTTTTCACTGCTACCCCCACACCTCTCATGATATCAAACACAGTTGAAAAAGATTGGGATCAATCCAAAACCACCCAGCTGCCCAAACCCTTTGGGTTGGTTCACTATCACTTGTTCCCGCAAAAAAAGCACATCCACCCACCCGATCACCCTTGGCACCATGCCTGGCACCCCAATGCCCACGGCCTCGGGCAAAGGCGGCGGCCGCCTCCTCAGCGACGCCGGGGCCACCCTCCAAGCAAAGGTAGACGTCTCCTGTGCAGGTGTGGCCGCAGAATGTCGAAGGGTTCGGGTGATAGGATTGGGTTTTGGGATATGATCGGGTTTTGAGCGGGTCTTGGAATCCTAAAGTTGCTAACAACATCATCTTGATCGGGTCACCTCAGCTTCAACAACATCCAACCTCCAATTCCATTTCAACGCTCCAAAGTTCTCATCTTTCATCCCACCTCTCATCCTTACCTTCCCATACCTTCCCTCTTCTCACCACATGCGTTCCACTCCCTGTCCAGCTCCGACCGCGCGCGGTTCGCACCGCGCGGTCGGCTCCTACCGCGCCGAAGACCTTCTTCCGCTCGGTGACGTCCAAACCGGCGCAAAGGTCCTCCCCGATGCCATAGCCTCGGCCGTTCGTCCGGCTTCGTGGCGACGACGGAGGTCCGACGAACGGGCGACGACGGAGGTCCGGTGACTGGAGAACGAAACGAACGACATGAAGCAATGGGGATCTTGATGTGAAAGTCACCTGACTCCAGCCTGGTTGTGTACGCCATGCATTCACGGGTCAAAATATAAACATGTTCGAGCAAAAGCTGCGGAGCCATTTTTTCCATTTTCCATTTCCATTGACGCACAGTGCTCGTCGTCAAGCTCAGCGTCTTGCTGAATGAATTCGCTAATTTCCTGCAAAGTAGTCCGGCCTGGGTTCGGCGAGTCCCTGATCTTCAAATGTCAGTACCAGACTCCGGAGCCACTCAGTGGCTTCTTCGAACACTTCAGTCCGGACTGGCTGATGGTTCAACCATAATCGGAAGAGGGAGGCCCCAAAAGAGCAAAAGGCAGGCGGGTACTCTTTGAGATGACTAGTTCGCCATTTTCCTCCCTCTAAACCGATGTTTGAACCCTGTGCACATACAGCACTGCGCATGGATTCTTCGCAGTGCTGTACTTCGGTGAGCTCGACCCCAGATAGCATAAGGGTGGTGGGCTTTGGGCTGTCAGCTCCAAAGAACCCTTGCAACACATCCAAGAAAACAAACAATCTCGTTTCCTGGAACCATCAAATGATCTGTGTCATCCAGATGGATGGCGCTCTGGTGTGTCGCGTTCCACCCTTATGAGGGTTCCGGGGGTGCTCCAACCATGAAAAACCCCCAGTGAGGGCCTGTAAAAGGACAGCCTTCAAGCAAAAGAGCATCAAAACATTTCCTATGGAAACTTGTTGCCCCTCTCGCTTGGACAAGCTACCTATCCCCCATAACTCAGGATCACAACGAACCGGTCGAGGCCCGCGCTGCAGCATGTGTGTATGTTGTTCCCAGCGAGCTATGCTCCAGGATTCACAGGGCGGCCCGCCATAAAGCCCTGCAACAAATCCTCCGCGGATCAAGTCGTGCCACAACTTTTGCTGATGATCCTTTGATAGGTCACAGCGGCTAGGGTCTATAGCGACATCAACAGAGACCACGGTCATCACCACACCAGGAGGGAGTGGTAGACTTTCTAGTTCCATCTGGATGTCCCGTTCCCTTCTCCGGCCACTGAATAAATGAAGTATGATCAATTCGGTGGGCAAAAAACTTCTCAAAACAGTATCTGCAACTCGACAACTGATTGCTCGACGACTGGTCTCGTCGGCCACAAGCATGTCATCATGCCGCACATCGTCTTTGTGCATTTGCCGTCCCAGCTCCTCAAGCCAGCCTTGCACCGCACAGCCGGCAGAGAAGATCCTGGAATCTGTTTCCTCAAAGTCTTTTACCCATATCTGAAATTCAGACAAAATAGTGTCATATGGCACTGGGATTCGGCAGGCTTCCTTCAACGCCAGAATCAAATCTTCATGAAAGAAAACATCTTCTTCTGGACAAAGGAAAGTCTGGAGTGCTTCTTGGAAACTCTTCTGAGTACGTGCAGCATCTCTACTCAGAGTGTTTGGTCCCTGAAATCTCGCTTGGTTCAGCCTATACCAGGGAAACTGAGGATGCTGCGAGACAGAGTCCGAAGTCTGAGGCAAGTGCCCACGCTGTTGTCGAAAAAAAGCTCGACACTCGGTACTATACCTCAAATGGTGCCTAAGGCGTTCTTGTGTTAAATACACCTTAGCGCAACAATGGCATGTCTGCCCTTGTACAACCTCACTGGATTCGCTGACATAATCATGCTTCTGGCAAGCATGCAAGAACCATCCTTGAGCCGCTGAAAAGGCCCTCTCACAGATGACACAAATGTGTCGGCTCTGCTGCGTTCGTTCATACGAATCAGTTAGGCCCTTGGACTTGAGAATGTCCAGGACGGCTCGATGGGCTCTTGCAGTAGTTGCGGCACGGAGCTTGGCTTGCGTTGCCCTGTACAAGGCAGTTCGTCCATAGCGAGCCCACTGTGCTGGTTTCATTGCCAGTTCCTTCCATGCCTCGCCATCCAGTACATCTCGCACTGGCGAGTCCCGATCCAGTAGGGAAAATGCCCAAGCAAGAGCTTGGCGGTACATCTGTATGGCATTGTCATCTTCAGCAACTAATGACCACAGAATATTAGGAGCTGTTCGCAACAAGGCCCCAAGATGACGAAACTGGGCAATCCTGATGAGATCTTCCGGGTCTTCACAGGTCAAGCAGCTTCGTATGTCATCCCTTGATGGTGCAACAAAAGATTTGGGCATCATCATAGCATACAAATTCCATACTGAGGTGATGAAGGCTTGGTGCTCCCGATGGTTGAGCTCAACCCAGGCTCCCACTCCCCAAGTCATGATGGAAAGAACTGTTGACCTGAAGATCATCATGCGTGTCTCCATGGGAACACGCCTCTGCCTGAACACATGCTTTGCCGCCCGCCAAAATGAAGCTCGCGCCTTTGCAAACCTAGTGCGAATTTCTGGCAACATGCTTCCATTGGCCTCAACAATCCCTCCTAAGTGCCGGTACCGAGGTACGAGAGGAAGCTGTATCGCGTTCTCCTCCAGCAAGACCGGAAAGGTCGCTTGAGTCGCAGCAAAAAGTCGTCGTCTCATGTGAACGGCACCGGGTCCTCTTGGTGAGATCACTGCAGCAGTTTTGGTCTCTCCGATAGATACCTTCATGCCGTATTTGTGCAGCTTCTCTAACAGTACATAGGCAATCAATGCCAAGCGGCTCTCAATCTGCGATGCCTTGTCAAATTCCGCAAGGATTGCTAGGTCATCCGCCCATGTGACTTGAAACATTGGAAGCATTTGTTCAGTCGGTTGGTTCTGATACGGATTTCGGTCGCTTCTTGTGCATACCTTCAAAAGCAAGTCACTGGCCTCAAGTTCTTTCTGGACCTCAGACAAAACTTGCGAGAACACAAGATTGAATACTATATCGGCTAACGAGTCTCCCGGCCTGGTGCCTCGGTGTGTCTGAATGAATTCATGACCTGTATAGGTGAAATATGTGCCCTCCAAAGTTTCTTGAAGGACCTGGTGCTGAACAGGTCCTGCTCCAAGCTCTTGGTAGGCACATTTTTGGGTCATGCATTCATGAATGAGTGACATCGACTCTGGCCCGAGGCCCATCCGATACAAGACTAAAGCCAGGTCTTCATCGGTCAAGCGAGCACCCGTTGCAATTTGCCGCAAAACACGATAATATGCCGATTGTACATCGCAAAACAGTATTGCTGTGCTCTTCTGCTTGCGCTTGCCCCTGTCAACGAAAAGTCGAGAGACCTGAGTGCCGAATAAGACTTGCTGCATGGGCTTACCACCTAACTGCAGGTCATCCGTGGCCAGCAAGTAGGGTTCATTCAACCGCGTACGAATAGAGGAGCGGATTGCTTTCCCTAAAACAGACGTCAGCAAAATGCCTCGGTGGTTTTGGCAGTCAGAGTGCTGCCCTTTCCCCTTGAATAAGGAGAAAATCTGTCCCCCTTTCCATTGGAGCGGCTCTTCCAGGCGACATGTCATCTTGAGAAGGATTGGATAGAGCACCATGGCAGCATCACCTGGACTAGCTTTCAACAATTCGTTGGGAAGCCGGTCTGGTCCTGGAGCTTTTCGATAGTGCATCTTACGAATAGCCTTCTCTAGTTCAAGACGACTAGGCAAGTCCTCCACATGGTACTCAGCAGGCTTGCAGGTATCTTGCTGACGTTGTAACAAACGTCGAACAAATTCAGGGACCTCCACTTCCTTGCCCGCTTCCAGTTGGGCAAAGTGTCGAACCCATCTGGCATTCACTTCCTCCATGGTTTGCAGAGTGTCCCCATTCTCATCCTTCAAGACCGGCAAAGGCTTAGGAAAGGTTGACTGTTTCTTGGACGGCTGCAAAATTGGTCTGAGGGCTGCAAAAACTTCATTTGGCTTGGAGTTCTTTGCAGCCTCTGCAATTTCAAGAAGAAAGCATTTCCGGTCGGATCGGAGCTGTTTGCGAAAGTGAGAGGAAACACGTTTCAATTCCTGCATTTGCCGTGCAGCTGCAATGGAAATTAGTTTATTCCACTCCTGTCCAGCATCTTTAAACCCCTTCCCTTTCTTATATGCTTTCCATGCTCGAAAAGTCACAGCACACAAAGAGAAGTTGTCATGCTTTTTAAGACTGCACAAAGCTCTTCGAAGGCTAGTCATGCGTCTGTGAAGCTCCCTACTCTCTTCCGAGACATGCTCTCTATGTTGTTGACCCTGCTTTTTCGGAAAGAGCCGAAGCGACTCTTTCTGCAAATGGTCTGTAATCAAAGCAGCATGTTGTGAAGCATTCATACTCCAATCTGGTTGTGGGCAGGATGCCCATATTTCCCTTACCCTATCCTGGTTCTGCGGATTTCGAAGAGCAGCGTCATCAATACGCTTAGTGCGAGACTGTCTGCGAATCAGCTGTTTCCAAGATACACCAAGGCAGGTGCAATCATGGTCAAAACCGGCATGGCCTACATGAATATCAGTGTCAACCCATGCGTCGATTTGCGCCCATTTCCAAGACAAGGGAAGCAGAACGTAATCAATCCGAGATCGCTTACCCGTTGCCCTGTGCGTCCATGTTTCTGGCGGGCCATGTTGTAATGCCTCGAAAGTCGATGGCGCAAACAGACCATTTCTATGCACAAAAGCTTCCAGAAAGGGAGTATTCTTGGTGGGAAGATCTTGTGTGTATCCCCCAAAATGCATTGTTTCTTCCGTGGGAGCAGTTGCATTTGCATCAAGAAAAACTATGCACTCAAGGCCTCCAAGCGTACAGGAAACTTGTGCCTGGAGTCTGTCCCACCATTCGTGCCGTTCTGATGGTGCAGTTCCCGTATGTGGGGCATGTGCAACCAGGAAACCGAATGTACCAAGTTGACCTTGGTATTTGACAATCATGATTCTTGGCTCAGCATAGGCAACAAGAAATTCCCCAGGATGGAAACCTATTCCATCGGCAACCTGAAGACCGCGACAAATCCAG